CCACTGCGGGACGTTATATATGTATATATATATATATATTGATTTAACAGTAAAGGTTTGCTTGGGATCAAGATTAGATTATTTGTATTTTAAACACGGACTCTATAGTATCATTTATTTAGAAGCACAGAAATTTCAGTTAATAATCAATTTTTTCAAGTAAAAAAAATTTGAAAAATTCTTACACACCATCCGACTAAAGAAAGTTTTCTTAAAAACCAAATAAGTTTTTGGCAATAAGATTATTTATATTATCCAAGAAAATTTTAATGTAAACTCATAAAAAAAAAGTGGTAGAATAAAGAGTTAAAAGAATAATTCATTCATTTAGAGCAATAGATCTGTTAATGAAACATATTCTAAATCTGTTTTCCAATTTTTACATATTTCTCGAGCTAACGATTCAAGCTAATAGCTCAAGCTAACATATTATTCAGTAAACAAATTATACTTCAGAAATAAATATAAGAAAAAGAAATCTGGATGCTTAAGCAACAGGCTCTTTATTTGAGGCTCTATCAAAATCACAAACCTGTAAGCGCAGAAAGAGGGGGTAACCAATGCGCATGTGTTAACTTAATGACTGGAGAGTCTCAGAAAGTCCCTGTCAGATGCTTCTTTCCCGTTTTCCGGAGAACTATTATTTCTCCCGAAAAGTGAATGGCAAGCTTTTATTAAAGAACTTGTAGAGTTTCTGCTTAGGTAGATTGTCCACGAATCTAAAACTTGACGAAAAAATATACTTTTAGACTTGGAAAAATATTTTTGTTATCTCTTTAAAAAAAGTTTAAAATTGTTTCACGCTTTTTTTCAAATTCATGAAATAAATAGTGTTCCTATTTTCTTAAGATGATACTTTTTGTCGTAATTTTGAGAAGATCGTTTAAAATTTTAGAGAATTAAAAATTTTAATTATTTTCCTCATACTATTTTTGAAAAAAAAATGTCAAATTTAACATTTATAAATGGAGTAAAAAATTTGAAAAAGGAATGTGAAATTATTTTGCGCGAGTAAAACTTAAATTGAGAACCATTTATGAAAACTTGTTAAAATTTGGAAATATATTATTTTTTCATCAATATAAAACAAGCAAGAATGATTAGAAATTTTATTATTTAAAATTTAATACAAAATTAGTTTTCGCATCTACTCTGAATTCATAAAAATGCTCAATTTCAAAGTTTTCTATAATATAACAAACTATATTTCAGATTAATTAAAATATTTTATTCATATATTGCCAACGGCAAACATATTTTCAATCTCTAAAATGATTTACTTATTCGTCAAATGAAATTAAAAATATGTACATTATAGGTTAGAGTTAAAGTGAATCAATAATCTAAAGTTTGTAAAAAAAGAAAAAAAATACAAGCAGCGTAGAACGTAGAATTGCTTGTGATTTAAAATAAACATACAATAAAATAATATTTTTTAAACAAGTCGCATTTCAATTTCGATTTTTTTCAAAGCATTCACTTCTGTTAGAACTATTTCAGAAGAGCTCAGTTTAAAATATTCAACATTTTCACGCCAAAGGAAACGAATTGCGAACGCTATTCTCAGAGTTTCTTACAGAAAACTTTAATACCTCTTCAGCTTTAAAACTACCGAAGCAATGACAACTGTTCTTGATTTGACTATTAATAAAACTCTGGAATATGAAACTACTGAAATATCAGAAATGGAACCATATCCTGATTTTACACAAATACCAGTTGTGCGTTTCATTTTTGTGGCTGTGTATATTATAGTAATGGTGCTGGCGGTAGTTGGAAATGCTGTAGTGTGTTGCACAGTTTTTTCGAACCGTAAAATGCACACTGCCGTAAACTATTATATTGTGAATTTAGCGATTTGTGACTTTCTGGTTGGTGTTTTCGTTTTACCTCTCAAACTATTAGAGCTTACATCTCCTGCTCATTGGGGAATACTGAGCGATACATTATGTACTGTTATGATGTATGTTCAGACGATATTTGTGTTTGCTAGTGTACTGACACTTGTTGCCATTTGTATAGAAAGGTAAGTTTTTTTTTTACCTATTTATAATTTTGATTGTTGTTTAAAATATCCATTCCGAGATTTATATATAAAAGTTTTCAAATTAGTGACCTGTATTCCTTTTAATTTATCATTTCTGCGTCTATCTAGTACAGGACAGAATTAGTTAGATCAACTTAGCTGACAGCACAAGTTAGATCAAATGACGATTGTGAGAAACTATATACCAGTCGCCATTCGTCGAAAATTTACACTTTAGTAGTCGAGAATTTTATTTTTTATTCATTTTAATACATATGGAATTGTTTAGAGTATTTAATAACATGATGAAAATTACTTTATTTCAAGCTTATTTTTTATAAATTTTTATACATTAAAGAAATAAACCTTGCATTGTTTGCCAATATTTGAGAAATGCTTAAAAAAATGATTTACGTTACTTGAATCAAAATTTCTTAAATCACTTAAAATTTTCACTGTTAAAAATGCGACAGGTGGTTAGTAGCATAATTTCCTGATTTTTCCGCATACCGATTTGACACTTTGGCATTTGCAAAATTAGAATTATCTGAATACTTTTGTTTACATCTGTGTTTGTTGATCACGTCAGTCTTATCACTTATATTTTTGGATTTGGTATAACTTCTGCAATTTTCATATTACTAACATTTGATTATATTTTTATTCCTCTGTTGATTACGCTCTCTTTATAATATAAGTTGTTTTTGTGTAAGATCTAAGCCTTAGCAAAATAAAGTTTTAACTTCATTTCAAATATTGGATTTTATTTTTATAACTCTATTGATTACGTCCTTGTTATCGCTTATGTTTAGAGCTAGACATAGTTTCTAGCAAACAGTACGCTTAATCTTTGTTTTAATTATTTGATTGGTTTTTTATATCTCGTTTTGATAATTACTCATATATGTTTTTTTGTATCAGACATAACTTCTAGATTTAGAAGGATTTTAGGTATATTGTAAAAGGGAGAATTTATAACTCTTTTTTGTTGAGTAAATCCTTTTGATCATTTACGTTTCCCTCAGGAATTTGTTTTTGATTCTTTAAGATTATTTAATTACATTATTTCTAACTCTGCTAGCTAAAAATCTGTCAGGGGTTGAATCGTTTCTAAATAAATGAAATTTTTTGACTTCGACATGTTTTAGTCCTATTTCCTTTCATTTCATCGTTTTTTTCTTCATAAGCCTCTATTTTTTTCGCTATTTAAAGTTTTAAAACTATTTTGTTTTTATTTTTTTTATTTTGAGTACATAAAATCATTAACTTTTATCGTCAGTTTAGCACTTCATAGCAGATACCGGATTTACACCATTAAGTTATACCCTCAAATTAATGAAATTCATACCCTCAAATTAATGAAATTCATACCCTCAAATTAATGAAATTCATACCCTCAAATTAACAAAATTCATACTTATCTCTAATAAAATGCGTATTTTACAACTGTACTTATTGACTTCTATCATTTTAAGCAAAAAAGTAAAGAAAAAGTAATAAATATCCCATTTGCTGTCAATTGATTCACATTAATTCTTATTTATTGCAATCTTTATGTATATTAAACA